TTTTTTTTTTTTTGTCTAACATATGACAGCAACTTTAGACGTTTATGTTAATAAAAACTTGATTTATTTACTTGGAGTGCGATTTATTTATTTGTTTGTTCTTTATAAAGCTAGAAATAAATTACTTACTGCTCACATACAACAATTGTTTACTGATAGAGATGGAAAATATAATCTAAGAGGAAAATTACATTTCAAAACTAAGTGTGTGGAACAACAAAAAGAGGCTTTAGTTTATCAGTTAGTGGAGTGAAGCTCTTGAACAGCTTGCCTGAAAATATTAAACAATGTAATAGCATCCAGCAATTCAAAAAAGAATATAAGAAAAGTATTTTTTGATGAATACAAAAAAGAATATGTAAAAAGTTATACTGTTTGTCTTACTGTAAATAATTGTCCTTTACCACCACGACTCATGTAACTGAGGGGTAGGGCTTAAAAAGCTTATTCTTCATCCTGCTCCTTTTTGAAACATGATGCATGTTTACGAAGCATTCTATGTAAACATTGTTTAATCATATGTTTCAAAATAAATTAAATGAAATGTGTTGTAGTTCCAACTCCTGGCCAGTAGGTGTCGCGCAAAAAAGAAAATAAGAAAAGTATTTTTGATGATTACAAAAAAGAATAATATATAAAAAGTTATACTGTTTGTCTTACTGTAAATAATTGTCCTTTACCACCACGACTCATGTAACTGAGGGGTAGGGCTTAATAAGCTTATGCTCCTTTTTGAAACATGATGCATGTTTATGAAGCATTCTATGTAAACATTGTTAAATCATATCATGTTTCAAAATAAATGAAATAAATGAAAATAAAATGAAATACGTTGTAGTTCCAACTCCTGGCCAGTAGGCGTCGCGCTTCTCCGCCGGAAGACGGCGACTGGAGTTTGCAAACAAAAGGGAGGTCGGCGTCCGGAGCCCCGCTGGCGACAAAAAACCGGAGGAACCGGGGCGGGTTGCAGCTCAGATATCTGCTGTCATGAAGCCCCAGCAGGCCGGGACGCGGGGGGGGAAACCCCGCGGGGCCTTGAACGCACCGTCGCTCGAGGACGAGCTCGTGGCGGCGATCCACGGCGCCTTTGAAGTGGCCGTGGAGATCGCCGTGCGCGAGGTGAAGTCCCTTATCGGACAGGCGACCGGGGACCTGTGCGGGGATCTGCGGCGGGAGAACGAGTCCCTGCGGGGGAGGCTGCGCAGGGCGGAGGCCGTGCTGCGGGACCTGTGCGGGGCTCGAACCCGCGACCCCCGGAGCCCGCAGCCCGAAGGCGAGGAGCTCCAGGCCGCCCACAGCCGCCCGGATCCGGCCCCAAACGGAGGGAGTGGGGGGGACACGTCCAGCCCCGGAGCGGTGGGAGAGAGTGGAACAGAGACGGTGAAACGGAGAAACGCAGGATGCCTTACAGGTGTGGGATAACTGCAGCTTCTGACTGTTATTTACTTTTTAAAAAAGTATTATTCTACCCCTTCTATTTACTTTATTTTTCTTTTTAAACAAAGTCTGATTCTACCCATTATTAGGCTGCAGAGTTGTGACCTTTCATATGGACTTATCTCTATAAACAAACGAGCAAAAAGACCACCTAACACAACAGCTCGTATTGGAAAATATTTTATTTTGAGCTGTATTTGTTCTTATAAGGAATCCAAACATGTCTTTTGGGTTATCTGAGATATGCTCAAGTTGGTAGAATCCAAAATTGCAGCGTTTTGACCTGTCATGTAGACTTTTCTCTACAAACAAACGAGCAAAAAGACCACTGGACACAACAGCTCGTGTTGGGAAATATTTTATTTTGAGCTGTATTTGTTCTTACTAGGAATCAAGAACATGTCTTTAGGGTAATCAGAGATATGCTCAAGTTTGTAGAATCCAAAATTGCAGAGTTGTGACCCGTCATGTAGACTTTTCTCTAAACAAACAAACAAAAAGACCACCTAACCCTTACACAATAGCTCATTATATTGGAAAATATTTTATTTTGAGCTGTATTTGTTCTTTCTAGGAATCAAGAACATGTCTTTAGGGTTATCTGAGATATGCTCAAGTTTGTAGAATCCAAAATTTCAGAGTTTTGACCTGTCATGTAGACTTTTCTCTATAAACAAACGAGCAAAAAGACCACATAACAGCTTATTTTAAGATGCATTCCCTCTTACAAGGAATCCAAACGTTATCTGTGAAATATGCTCAAATTTCTAGAACTCATAATGCTCGTTTTAAATGATACTTTGCAGGCTGCACTAAATCTTTAAAGGAAAAAAGCCCGTAAAGCAATATTCCTGTTCTCTGTGCTCGTTTTGGCTTCGTTTTCAGATCTCACTGAGAAGATCTCCATCACCTGTGAGGTGAAGGTGGAAGAGGTGAGCCCCCCGTGTGGAGGCCCCCCCTCAGAGGTCCCCGTAAAGCAGGAGGAGCCAGAGGAGGAGGAACACGCCACATCTGGCTGTCTGGACCTGGTCAAAGAGGAGGATTGGACCCTGGAGGGCCCGACGTGGGCAGAAGAAGATGTTCAGAGTCCAGACCCGATGGCTCTGACCAGCAGCAGCAGGCTGGAGCCGGGTGAGTTACGGAGGCCCAGGAGCAGCAAACTGTAGCTTTAAGATACAAAAGACACTAAAAGCTGTTCCATGACTTCTTTTGCAGATATAATTTCACATAACATTAACCTGCAAAGGGATAGATGGAAACTATCCAGTGGCCAAAAACTAGTTTTGAGGAAAGTTTGGAAGTGAAGTCCAACAAAGTCCAACCAAACATCAGTTTAGCTATAAAGTATAAGTTATATCTCTAAGCGATTAACAGCCATCTTTAAAAAGTTTTTGTAGTTCTTTTTTACTTGTAAAAGGTAGTTTAGTACATTTGGTGATGCTGAGCACAGAAACTGCTGGTTTCTTTTGTTATCTTTTATGATCTGTAAGTTTTAAAAGTCCTTAAAGTTCCAGCATAGCTAAATATTTAAGGACCCTGACATGGGCTGACATGGGCTGGGTTCTGTGCCATTAGAGCCAGAAAAAACACAAAAACAGGATTTGAAAAGGTAGTAAAAGTGTGTTTGTTTTCATTCTGTTTTCTGTAAATTTTTACACAATTTCACCACTTTTTTAATGTTTTTTCACAAAGAGTTTGGCTAAATGTTGCTGAAATGGCTACAGAAATCAAAGAAATGCATCAATTCAGACATCCAGATTTCCAGCATCACTGTATTTTGAAGCAGTCTCAGTGGAACTATTCATATTTTTTTGTAAATACGATAACCGGTACAATGACGTACATATTCCCTCCGTTAGCTGCTTTATGGTCTTCATTTTGTCCTGTAAAAACTTCCCCTGAAACAGGCAGACTTTGTCTTTCTAAACCAACCAAAGTGCACGTTTTTCTCCTTTTTCTGTGCAGCTCCACCTCCGAACTTCCCCCCGTCCCCGGACCCTCATCCCGTCCCCTCGGACTTCTCCCCCGTCTTCCCCCCGGCGGACCGGCTGTTCCCCCCCCCCGGGCCCCCCCCCCCCCGCAGGTCTACGGGGTCCAGGTGCGGCTTCACACCTGTCGGTTCTGCGGCTCCGGCTTCCCGCTGCCCAGCCTGCTGCGCCGCCATTACTCCCAATGCCCTCAGCGGCTCCAGCCCCCGGTGGGGGGGGCGGCGGGGGGGGCGGAGCCAAAGCCAAAAGGGGGCGGGGCCAGGCTGTACGCGGCGGGCCGCAGCCCCTACCGCTGCACCGTGTGCAGCCGCGAGTTCAACCGCATGGAGAACCTGCGCACGCACCTGCGCATCCACACGGGCGAGCGGCCCTACACCTGCTCCGTCTGCGCCAAGTGCTTCCGCCACTCGGGGGCGCTGACCAGACACTTCCGCATCCACACCGGGGAGAAACCCTACGTCTGCGCGCAGTGCGGGAAGTCCTTCAGGAACTGCGGCGGCCTCAAGTTCCACCAGCGCTCGCACGGAAACGCCCCGCGTCTACAGGCCTGACGGAGGCCTGTTTTCAGAGTTCAGAGGGAAGACTTTTAAATGGGAAATACGCACAAATGTTAGGGACAGAAATAATGACATGAGTAGAGTCTCTCTTAATGGTTGTGAACTTCTGTTGGAAATCGGCCTTCTGTGTGTCATCACAGCTGAACCTTTTAAAAGGGAACAGTACAATGTCTCGAAATCCCTGGAAAATAAGGAATTTACTCTTATTAGTCTATAAGAAAGAAACAAGATTCATATAGTTAGAATATTTCCGGTTAAGAACACCATAGTGTTCATTTGAAGAAAAAATATGTTTCACACATTGTCTTAATCTTTTTAAATCGCTACCCATCAAGCATAAGAATTAAAGAGGCTCTCTGACAGTGAGGTTACCAATAAAGGACTATAAAGAAAGACCCACGTCTTTATGTGAACTGAACAATTGAAGATCCTAGCTAACAGTGTAGCTCACAACAGTTCATCTGAGAACCTGCGCATCCACACCGGGGAGAAACCCTACGTCTGCGTGCAGTGCGGGAAGTCCTTCAGGAACTGCGGCGTCCTCAAGTTCCACCAGCGCTCCCACGGCAACGGCCCGCGTCTCCAGGCCTGACGGAGTTCAGAGGGAAGACTTTTAAATGTAAAACACGCACAAATGTTAGTGACTCGTCCGATTTGCTCCCTCATTCCTGAACTCTGGACAAATGATTACATGAGTAGAGTCACTCTTAACAGTCAGGAACTTCTGTTGGAAATCAGCCTTCTGTGTGTCATCACAGCTAAACCTTTCAAAAGGGAACAGTACAATGTCTGGAAATCCCTGGAAAAATAATTAATTTGCTCTCTTACTAGTCTATATGAAAGAAACAAAATTCATATAGTAAGAATATTTCCGATTAAGAACACCATAGTGTTCATTTGAAAGAAAAGAAAAAAGATGTTTCACACATTGTGTCTTTAACTTTTTAAATAGCTACCAATCAAACATAAGAATTAAAGAGGCTCTCTGACCGTGAGGTTACCAATAAAGGACTATAAAGAAATGCCCACGTCTTTATTATGTGAACTAAAGAATTAAAGATCAGTGTAGCTCACAACAGTTGTTCATCTGACCCGTCCACAGCAAGTGTGATATCTGATAAAAATTTGGTCAGGAAGTGGGAAGCGGAGTTCTGGTTCATGTCTTTGAGAGAGACGGTTCAATCACTCAGTTTTAGATGGACTTACAATAAGGCACCACATTAATAAAGGTGAATTATAAAGACAGTGAAAAAGCAGCAAATGCAAAAACAAAAGCTCCCGGAGACCCCACTGAACTAAGACCAGCTTAAAAGATTGTAAGAAAGTCAGAAGCAAAAAATAAAGAGTGACTCAGGACTTTTTTGGGGTGTTGTGGGTGCGAAAAGCACAGTACATACAAACACTACTTACTGAGTAAAATTCAGTTCCGTTCTGCATTACTCAACATCACACTTGTTTCAACATCACTTCTCTTTTTGTTTTTTGTTTAGCAAACCTTGATAAGAAGTTAGGTCACTGAGTCAGGACCAGTTTGCTCCACAGTGGGAACATGCTCAGCGAGCTCAGGACCACAAAGTACTTCAAACATTTGACTGTTGAGTAGACGATTTCCCAGCACAATAAGTCCCTGTTGGTGTTTTGTTGTTGGCCCAGTATCGGGTTTAATCGTCAGGCTGTTTGATCAACGTGACGGCAGACTGATTCACGGCTTATCTTTACATTAAATGCCACCGGTACTGATTGTATCTCCAACCAGCTCATCCATTTATTCTCATTACTCTGACCTTATCTTAACCAATTGACCTCTGAAAGAGAAAATCAAATCAATATGAATGGATTGTTTGCATCATCAAATAATCCCAAATCATTTTTTAAAAATTCATTAAAATTCAAATCAAAATAGATATTTAAGAGGTCTGTTTTCACTTTCTTTAATTTAAGATTAAACCACATATTACTTCAGATTAGCTGCTTTACCAAGTCAACTTAAGTTAATTAGACTTAGACACCTTTATTGTCATTTGTAGTTACAGAGTATGTACCAATTAAAGTAGCCATTCTATCTATCTATCTATCTATCTATCTATCTATCTATCTATC